TCAAGCGACCACTCGACGCTGCGACTTCAAAATTTTAGACGCTAGCGAATAAAAAATAAATGAAATAAGCGTGTAGAAGTTTTCATCAGCGAATTCGCTGACGAATTAAGAAGCTTGCTTCAAGCTTCAAGCGAAAGCAGCAGAGTCGAGAGAATTCGCTGACGAATTAATGACGTCACTAGACTAGACGTGGATTCTAGCAAATAAAGTCGCCCCGTGTAAATCATACTTTAAAATATTTCAGAATTTATATATAAAGAATTCTAGAAAAAAAAAACGTAATTTTTCAACACTTGTAAAAAAAGGTTCTAATATCTATATATATATAATCTGAGAAATTTTTAAAAATTTATAAAATTTTACATAAATTTTGAAAAAATAGATACATAAAAAATTATAAGAAAAACTTTTACTTTTAATATAATTTTAATTTTTTATTTTAGTCTTTCGACACGCTAGGGAGTGGAATTAGATTTGAGTAAGAAATGTGGATGACATTTCGACGACGGTGGGTTTTGAATTGTTTATTTAAACGTTACAAGCACATACAGAACAATAGTTGAGTACATTCAAATAGAATTTCTACCGTTCATCATTTTGGCGAGCGTCATGAGAATTCATCTTATCCATACAGGCGTGTATCTCTTCATACACGGCGCATTTGATAAAAAAAAGTTTATGTACCTTGCGCTGATGATTTTTGGATCGTGTCATTTGTGCGCTTTTAATCTGATTATTAATTAGATGCATGTACGCACATACATATGCAGTTTTCCGATAACAAGATAATCACTACACAGAAAGAATGGTTTTGCTAGAGTATCTAAAACTTTAACTATTGATATATACACAGATTTGAAAATAATTTTATTGGGCCAAATAATTATATAAAATGCTCAAACTTAGCGCTGCTTCAAAGGCTTGTTGCGCCTGGTTGCAGAGCGTCCCGCCGTCACTTTTTTCTATCAGATTATTCGAATCAACCTTCATTAAATCCAAATCATTTCTATTACACCATCATATCAATATAAAAATCGCACGCACGCACGCATACACAGTTGTACGATTATTTTTAAAGACACGTCGACAGCCTTTGCAAGGCAGCCACCAGGATGCACTGCACTCGTTGCATCCCGGCTTGAAACGGCCCTACTCAAATTGCTAGAATCTTTAACTTTTTGCAGCGTTATCATTATGCTTGAACGTTTATTTTGATAACTTATTAATATTAATAATAAAATTATTTTCAGGTCTGGTGAAAATTTTTCTTAGAATTCTTCACATAAAATGTTATAAGAATTTTTTCTACCAGAGAGGAAAAAGTTGAATTTTCAGATGTTTTAGCAAAACTGTTTTTTCCGTATAGGATTCAGCGATAGAATCTGACAATCTTTTCAAGCTTGTAAAAAATAATAAAATTTAAAGTAACAAATAAATATAAAGGAATGATGCGTTTCAAAATTGAAAAATCAATTCGGCGCGCAATTTACACGATTACATAGGTAGTATATAAACTCACATCGAATTATTAAAGCATTTAAGATCCAGCTTGATCGTTAAAGGCATTTATTCCTTATTAATTGCGTATGAAGAAATGATCTTTCAAAGGAATGTAATTCTGTGTAAGCGATTCGTAATCGGGTTCTAGATTCGATTTCGATCCTCGGTTTTATAAAAGGTTGATACAGAAGACTTGAATGAGTGTTAGATGGAATGGGAATTTTGTAAACCCTTAATAAGAATAATTTTTCAATACTTATTTATAAGTCTAATTCTAGAAATGGCATCTTGTAATTTTCACGTTTAATAAATCATACATTAATTGATCATACAGTCCTCGTAAAGTAAATTAAGTTTGGAAACGTGTTTAATATCTACACTTCAAATAAACTATATAATATGAATGTTGTGTAAATAAGATTATATTTTTATTTCATAACATATTTTTATAGTTTATTCAGTCTATTTGTTATTAAATTATTTTTTATAACATTAAGAAAAATCTCAATTTTTTTTATGTAATATTATACTTTAAGCGTTCAAGATAATTTATACAAAGTTTCATTGTAATTGTCTGTTTAGTTGTTTGGTAAATAAATAAATAAAATAATTTTGTTTATTTACAGAACAACTAATCTGCATCGCAATGAAATATACTATATTATAAATCATCTCGCATAAATAAGGCTATCGCAAGGAAAAGATACTCAAATAAGTCTCAAAATACTTTTTTAAATAAATGTTCAAATTAAAAATAACAGCAAGTTCCTAAAATTAAATTAATGTTAAAGTTTACGGAATAATGAACAATTTTTATGAAAAACTGCTAGTATTTAGATGTACAAATGTTTATTTTTTATAAAGACATGATTTTAAAGATTTAATTCATATAAATCAATGACAATATTAGAAGATTATTTCTGCGATTTATTTTAGATCTTGTCATTCTTTTACAAGCGTAAAAAAATTATCAGATCCAACTGCTTGACCCTGTAAATTTGAAAATGTATCACAGTACAAGAGTATGAAGATAACTGAAAAAGGGGCAGGTAGCATTATTCAGATCCATGATGCAAGTAGACAAGGTGTTCTTGTAACGAAGACAAGTTTGCGCATAGCAAACTTGTGCTGTGACCCTATTTTCTGCCATTTTAAAACGTGTGTTATACGATTTGAAATGATTGCAAATAAATAAGTAATAAGTGACGTAATAAATAGTGAAATTAATAATAATAAT